CTCTCAAACTCACCCTTCGGGTGATAGGTAGAAGCATTAGTACCTAACGGAGTAGTATCTAACCAAAAAGGGAGGTGGTGTTGTTTTTATAAACAGGATGGAGCATGGCTTCCTTTCTTCTTAGATACATTTCATTCATTCCATTTCTCTATAATTCACACAAGAACATCTTGCTAATGGGGATGCTTTACCCTCCATCTAGCAACCACCATCAAGTGTGTCAAAAATCAGTTCATCCTCCAATGGAGAAGAGAGAAAGCCAATAGAGCAAGGGAAGAAGAGGAAGATTGAAGGAAGAAGCAAAGGGAACTCCTCCCCAAGGTTGTGATGGTCCAGATCCACTACCTTGTCTCTTCAAGCTTCGGTTCCACCATATTTGGTGAGATTGTTCCAATCCCTAGCTCTTGAGACCCAAATCTTGTTGTCTTCATCCAAGATTCAGAAATCTTGATGTATGAGATCCTCTAGTGCTGTCTAGAGAAGAACTTGTTGTATCCCACATTTGATAATAGTGGAAGAGGATTTGCATGGCTCCGGCCCGTGGTTTTCCCCCTCATGTTGGGGGGGGGGGGTCCACGTAAAAATCTGGTGTCTCTTTGTTGATGCTTGATGCTGTCTAGAAACTTACTCCTACCACAAGACACTAGGCTGAGGAGTGTATTGCCTGCTGAGTAACATATTTTGCCTCCATATATGCTGCTGCATATGTTTCCTTCCGTGCTAAGCAACGATCTTGAGTTAGTACATGATGTGGTGCTGAGATTACTTTTTTCTGCTGTAGTTATCAGTTAACCACAAGTACATTTGTGTACTAATTCCCAACACTTTGTGCTCCTCTCTCAAACAAAGCATTCTTCTCGAGCAAATGTTAAGTGTGGTTTTGAACGACAAGAGCAATGGATGTATCACTAAGCAACCTCAACCTTGTTACTTTTCGAGGGTGTCCGCCTAGCAGGCTTTGCTAGCCGACTTCCTTCGGTGAGGACTAGGGTTTTCCACCCGAGTGAAAGCGATCCGGGCGTCTTTTCCACTCTACACGTTTTTTCATCTGCGCACATAATCTTACACCTAGAATCTCTTCATGATTAAATTACCTCCTACATACACTACCCTATGTAATGTTGGTGCTTTTATTTATTTATTTATTTTTTCAATGGATGAAGAGCCTCGAAAGACCCAATACTACATTAATCACATAGCCATGGGGAAGTATATCTTAAAACTATAGCCCAAAAAACTGAAAGGTACCAACCCTAATTTTTACAAGCAGGACCCCAAACTGAGAGGTAGAGTTGCGATCAACAGAGCTACACAAAGCTCGGTGGGGGGGGGGGGGAGCTTGGAGCAGTGGCCCATGTAGCCTTGCAACCTTTGTTTGTGAGAAAACTTTCAACCTATTTATCAAATATCAAGGTAGTACAATGAACACTAGAAGTAAATTTGCATCCAGCTCCATAGACCACCTAGCGACGAGTACAAGCACTGAGCGAGCCAAAGGCATGCTGCCATCGTCGCCCCTCCCTCATCGGAGCCGGGCAAACATTGTTGTAGTAGACATTCGGGAAGTTTTTTTGATAAGGGCCCATAGGACTAGCGCACCAGAACAACAACCGCCACCGATGAAGAGAAGCGTAGATCGTAAGGATCCAACTTGTAGACATACATACGTAGACGAAGGAAGACCGGATCCTGGCGGATCCACTGAATACAAACGCCGACCGGATTCCACGAGATCCACCAGAGACACACCTCCACACACCCTCCGATGCTTGAAGCATCATCGCGATGGAGGCTAGGCGGGGAGAACCTTATTCCATCTTTAAGAAGCTGCCGCCGCCACCTCGTCTTCTTGAGGATGGCACAAACTCTAACAGCCTTGCAACTTGCTTTAATCAATCTGTCTGCAAGTGTTCGATGTATACATTGATTCAGCCCTCCCCCCTCCCACCCACAACCCTACCCGAAAAAAAAAACCATTTTCGCAGTAGGGTCCAAGGCAATTCCCACCCAGGTTCGGTCTCGCCGCCGCCAAGGACGAACCACTTGAGTGCCTTGTAGCATCTTCACCAGTTCCAATTTTCCTCTTCTAACAAACAGCCAGCAGCTCAAACCTTGAAATCGGTTAGGCACATTGCTTAGATTGCACACATGCAAGTATGCACGGTCCTACTACTAAAATATGGATGTGACGTGATAATGACTTACACACTGCTCTAGCCATAAAATCACAACGATCATGCAAACTCGTCCTTCTTTGACACTGCGGATCGGAAAACAACGTGACAAGGTAGACATGAATTATGATATGATGCAAGACGAAGATGATTCACGAATCAACGCGTGGGTGAGTATATGCGTATATGTATGAGCGCTTGTGCCTGTACTTTGTTCAAAAAAAAAAAGATGATTCATGTGTACACCGACTTTCAGTCTTCACTGTTACTGTGTGCGAAGGGTCAATTTAGTACCGTAATGAACAGGTCGATTCATCGTGGTACCTCATCCAAGTTAGTCGTGTCTTGTCATCGGCTGATCACTTAAAAACCGTGAGAAAATTAGCTGGACTCGCTTTGACTTTTCTTCTTTCGAGAAGGAGGATAACCATCGGGCTCTGCATCATTTGAGGCTAACTCCACCGCATGACCCCAAACGGACGTTCGGATTGGCCGGATTTTATCCGTTTGGGGCGCCGATGGGTTCGCCCGTGTCCGGCTATGTCCGTTGGGTCGTGCGTGCGCTCACCGCGCGGCTGCACCCCAAATCGTGTTCGGGGTGGACGTGAATAAAAAAACTATAAAAAACTAGAATGAAATGACTAAAAAAGTAAATAAAGGCATTTAAAGAAACATAAAACATATATAGGGGGCACGGCCACAAAACGGCCCAGTTTCCGCGGCTTAAAAAGCCCAATTTCATAATTAACATAAAAACAAAATAAAAAAACGCCTCCCGCGCGCTCCTCCCGCGCCCGTCGGTGCCGTGGCCGTCGCCGTCACTGGCCGCCGGTGACGTCGTCGTCGCTGACGAGGTCGACGTAGTCCGGCGGCGTCCACAGGTGGGTCGATGGTGCGTGGTAGACGGGGCGGCCTGGAAGGCCGGAGGTGCCTGCACCACCTCCTCCCGTGGCGAGGCCTCCCGCTCCGGTGACCGTGGTGGAGTGGCTCACCAGTTCACGCCCACGCGGGCAGCCATCTCCGGAGCAGTGTAGGACCAGCCCCACCCCTGGCCCAGCAGCCCCTGGAACGCGGCCGGCAGTTCCTCCTCCATCGCGTCCTCCGTCACGGCCGCCAGCTGCAGCTCCGGGAAGGCGACGTCGCCGGCGGCAGAGAGGGCCATGGCCTCCTACAGGCCGTCGCATTGCCGCTCGTCATGCGTGTTCATGGAGTCCGCCATGACACGCTACACGAGACGGGCCTCCTCCTCCGCTGTCATGCGGGGAGGTGGAGGTGGCGATGGATACGGGGAAGGCAACGGCGTGGGCGTCAGGCCGCGCACCCGCGTACGCCCGCGCGCCTCTGCACGTGGCCGCCGCGGCCCCGACACGGTGCCGGCGAAGTACGACGTGCGGCGCGTGTCGTGCTCGTCCTGGAGCCATGCGTCCCATAGCGTGGAGTCGGGGGCGTACCTGTGGTCGTAGTATAGGTCGTCGGGGAGGAGGCGGCGGCGGCGCTCGATCTCATCGCGCCAGGCACGGCCGCTCGCTAGCACCGGCGGGATAGGGACCCGGTCCGCGGAGAGGTGCCAACCGTTGGGGAGGTGGACGTCGCTCCACGGGACCGGCGTCCTCGTCTCCCAGTACCTCCGGCACACGTCCGCGGCGATGTACTGCCGGTCGCGCTCGCCGGCCGGCCTAGGGCCAATGGTGAAGGGAGCCGGCGCGGGGGCTCGACGGGAGGAGCGCGGCGGTGACTCGGGCTCCTCCTTCTTCACGGATCCGCGGTGGCGGCTCGAGGAGGAGCCGGCCTAATGGTCGTGCTTCCCCTTGCGGCCGTAGTTCGAAAGGCCCATGGTGCGGCCGGCCGACGAGGACAACGACGAGGAGTTAGGGTTTCGAGCGTGTCGGGTTTTGAGGGGGCAGAGAGGGGCCGGAGTGGGAAGTGTGGACGACGGCCGGTCCACGACTTCCCATTTAAGAAGGACGACGACCTGGAGCTGTGCGGATGACAGGTGGGGCCACCTGCCCGTGCACATTTATGTTGGCGGGTGGGAGGTAGGTGGCCGCCTGCCACGCGGCCCCGACACGGACGCTCGAAGCGTCCGTTCGATGTCCGCCGCAACCTAAACCCGGCGCAAGTTTGCGCTCGAAATGGATCAGCCCGGACACAAAACAGGCCAGATGGGTCCGGGCCGTCGCGCGCTGGGCCGCTTGGTTTGTCCGTTTTGCTCCAAACGGACGGGGCCGGATAAGATAAGGCCGCGCGGTGGAGTTGGCCTGACTGCATCCTACACACACCCAAGGATGGCTCCGGAAAAGACACAAATACTGAACGAGAAGGTGGGGCCGTGTGCATGTACATACTATTCGATGAGGAGGCCATCTGGCCATGATAACATTTTCTTTCATTATTTGCCAACGTAATACAGCAAGAGGGCCAAGAGGGGAAGATCATTACACATCTTCCATTGCTCTACCAAAAACAGCAGCACTGCAACAACGCACATGCGCCTACTCCCTGATTAAACTCTGCTTCTGTAAAAGCAAGCACGGTACATGTATAGATACAACACTAGCAACGACTTTTTTCCCCCTGAATACGTCTTAAATATACCATCCTACTATATTTCTTGAATTATTTCCATCAAAGAAGTACCCCAAAATACAAGAACCGTCAAAATGACACAAAAATCCATTAAACTATACGTATTTACCGGAGCAGAGCAGAGCAGAGCAGAGTATAAATAGTTTGAGGGAGGGCCCAGCAGAACCAAAAGGGCGCTCTGGTTTTAACAGAGTTGGCAGATGGCACGGAAAAGCGAGGGAGGGAAGGGAAGGGTTGGGTTCAGACGTCGACAACGCATGGCGCGGCGCGCTGGAAGTTGAAGTACCCGTTCCCGCCGCCGCCGGCGATGGAGCCGTAGCTGCCCTGCCCTCCGTTGACGGTGAGCAGGGCGGGACACCTGACCCGGAGGTGGTAGTGCCCCGTAATGAACGCCCCGGCCTTCCACCTGATCCAGCCGTCCACCCGCACCGTGAGCAGCACGTACCCAGCCGTCTCGTCCTGCGCCAGCGCCACAGCCAGGTACGGGGCCAGCGGCACGTTCGACCCCACCAGGAACGGCGACCACACCGAGACGTCCAGGTGGCCCTGGTACACCACGGGGAGCGCCGTCGGGACGGTCACCTGCTGCCCCTTGTACTCGGCGTACGCGTCCGTCCGGTCGAAGTAGATGCCGACGCGGGAGTTGGGGTTGCGGGCGGCGATCGTCGCCTGCAGCGTCACGGTGAGGTAGGACGCCGGGGAGGAGGTGGCGTTGAGGCACGCCACGGTGAGGCCGTTGAGGTAGAAGCGCGGCCTGGTGGGGCGGAGCACGAGCCAGACGATGAGGATGATGAGCAGGATGAGGAGGATGACGGCCACCAGGGCGGCGCAGAACTGGCGGTACAGCCGCCGCCGCTCGCAGTCGTGCTTGTCGCAGTGCTTGATCGACATCTTCTTCCTCCTCTTTTTCTCCTTCGTGCTCCCGCTGTTCGTGGACAGTGGAGAGCAGAGAAGAGAAGAGAAGAGAAGAGAGAAAGCTCTAACTAATTTGGTGGGCGAGTGGGTGAGGTGAGTGTATCTGTATATACATAAGCCCAATAGTCCGATGTGGGCGCCATGATTGATTACCGCGAGCGCGAGCGCGAGTTCGTCTTACTTTCACCAAGAAAGAAGAGAGCTTTTAGGTCGATCGATGGTTGAAACGCAGGAAAAGGGAGTGAGGAGTGGCGTCAGGTAGGGTGTCCAAATCGAGCTATCAGCTTCGGTTCAGACCAGTCCGTGGATTTCAACATCAAACAAATTGCAATGAAGGATTAAAGGAAGAAGAGGGCGACGCGCACGCACCTTGTCACCTTGCCTAATTCTTCTAGCACCCATCGCCATCAAACTGAAACCAAATAGTATGGTCACTTGATATCCAATTGATGTTATATACTGTATATATTAGCCATGTGAGTTACAATTACTTCTATGAAATATTGCAGGCATATTCTGAGATGACATATGGTCACTTGCATGTACCCGGCTTCCTCGCCGGCGAGCACTAGTACTGTACTGTGACTCGCCGTCGCGCTCAGCGGCAACCGGCATGCTCCGTAGGAAGTCACAGACTGAGCAGTCAAAATCAGAACTTAATTTTCACGTTATTGACTCGAGTCAAGCAATCGAAGTAAGCATCGATCAACTAATTAACCAACACTCTCACTCAAATGAATGCATCAAGCAACAGATTCAGGAAATATACGGTGTGACTTGACACACACTTCAGCCAGGCCGGTCCCTTTAGATATGATTTGACATGCTACCCTCCCCCCAATAGTTTCAGAAACAACTAATTTGCTGACCCCAGCGAATGAATGAGCTACTCCTTTGCAGCAGCAGCAGCAATCGTAGAGAAGTGCATTCTATCTACCTGTACTCCTCTGTTTTGTTGGACCAAACATTACCTCCTCCCTCCTAATCGGCTAATCGGACAGATACCAAACACAGATTTATACTACTAGACAACACATTAGGACATGACTTGATAGATGAAAACAAATTGCTGGTAATGAAAAGCCTGATGAATTACGCTGGAGTTTGACTAGGTCTGGAATACTTACAGTTAAGTCAATGTATATTAATGTCATTAATGTGAGTTCCATTCCAACTTTCAAGAACGTCTGGGATGTCAAAGTTCCTTTAAAAAATAAAAGTGTTTATGTGGTTTGTTCATAAACAAGTGATTCTAACAAAGGACAACCTATTAAAGCGTAATTGGACAGGACCTACTAGGTGTAGTTTCTGTGACCAGGACGAGACGATTAAGCATCTTTTTTTTGATTGCCCGCTGGCCAAGGTTCTTTGGCGGACGGTTCACATTACTTTCAATATCACTCCACCCAATACTATTAATGCGCTATTTGGGAGTTGGCTTAATGGGTTTGAGACTAATTTAGCAAGACATATTCGGGTTGGAGTTAGCGCTTTCTTGTGGACCATCTGGCTTTGCAGAAATGATTTGGTGTTTAACAGATCATCACGGGTTCATTTTTTGCAGGTTATTTTCCGAGCTACGGCACTGATCCGTTCGTGGTCGCCACTCACTACGATGGAGGCCAGGGAGCATTTGGTTACTGCGTGTATCCGATGGGAGACGATAACTCGGGATATCTTCAACCGGTTTGGATGGCGGTCATGTAATAGGATAGAAAATTAGTTTACCTGTCTTATTCTAGCCAGCCGGTTGTGGCGCATTGTTCTTGGCTAGTATGTGTTTCTAGCCTTTTGCGCTCTGTGTGAGCTGCCTTTTATTTCCAGATTTGAGACGTTCGAACCTTATGGACACCTATTTAGTTAATAAAGAGGGCCGTATGCATCACTAGATGCAGAGGCAGGGGAAACCCCCTTTTCGAAAAAAAAATGAAAAGCAGCACAGTCCCTTAGTTTGATGGCAACAAAATCGGTGTGCTCTCGGGTCAATAACAAGACGCGCAAACCATCATCACTTTCTAACCCACTCTGCAAAGCGTGACATGATGTCGCTATACATGTAGCAACAGCGAATCCTCTTTTTGCTATCGACTCGACCTCTGGTCTTTAGAAGCACCAAAAGAGCGTGACCAAGACACACCAGCGTATGAGATTACTCCACCACCAGCAATACTAGTGAGCAGTAGCTATGGTTTTAGGGATGAGCGTGCAGGTTCAGTGGAGTGTTCTAGTGAAAGAAGGAATCGAATCTCTTTGCGTCCTGTTGGTCCATGCATTAGCCTAAGCATGACATCACAGAGGAATGCATATCCCAAGAACTTTCGTGTGATATACTCTAAAAAAGTTTTAATTATCAGAAGACATGGAGGGGGACCAATACCAAAACTAAGTTATTCGGCTTGTATAAAAGAAAAGGGAGGAAAGTGCAGCAGAAAGATGGATCAAGGTTGCAGGAAAGCAAATCCAAGTATATCCCAAACGTAGCTAGCTAGAGGATTATCAATCTCAATCGGAAACAAAGGGGAGAATATCACAAAGAGACTGCAGCCACAAAAGTGTCATCTTTCTGATGAGCTTATACACATGGATTCTTATCCACAAATTACAAGGCCAAAGGTTTAGGACAGTGGTTTTATAATCTTCACAAGATGCATAGTTAGTTCACAACTTCACATGGGTCCAATTTTTATTTTAGCAAAGTGATCAACATGAGAATACATACCGGCTTGCCAAGTGCCAAATTTTATGTACCCCGAAGAATCAAGGCGGGTTAGGGCAACTCTAGACGATCCCCTAAAATTTGGCCCCTCAAACGCTCCCTCAAACAGTAACTTCTCAATTTTAAGATGTTAAAGAAAAAAGGTTCCTAACTGTACTCCTAAATTTAACTCCCTAAAAAAATATATACACAAATTTAAACTACTTGATTAAAAAAAGGTAGCGCAAAATACATAGCATACCATAAATTTGGATTGTTTGAACAACATAAAACTACTTTTAAAACTAAGCAAATCAGATTCCTCCGCGAACTTAGCATAAGCACAATTACCTCGTCAACACCGGAGGGAATATTATTTTTTTCAAAAAGGATGATGACCCCCGGCCTCTGCATCTGGTACATGCATACGCCGGAGGAAATATGGATCACGGATGGTACAACCTCATCGGCGACCCCTCCCCCAACCCACGGAGGGTCCAGTCTCATTGGCATTGTTACTACACTTCTTGCAGGTCTCGTAGCATGCACGTTCCTCACCTCTAGGTGCTTATCTCTGAGCTCAACCATATACCCCTCGTCCATGCACTCCGTCTGGAGCTGTCTGAAGGCATCGTGATTGTCCCTCACCTCGCGGCGTGAGACCACTCGAGGACGGACGTCCGGGAAGCCGCGACTGCGGAGGGGGAGTTCACCTTCGCCCCGCCGCCGAAGAAGCGGACCAGCACGACATCGTACTTATGAGTCGCCTGCTACGTGGACTGAAACGTGCCAAGCCAATGCCTCTCCCGCATTTCCGATACCCAAGTCCCTCACGGTTGCTGCCGCACTCCATGGTGTACCACTCCGCGACGTCGTTTCATTGGAAGAGGGGTTGGGGCAGTCGGGGGCTATGGTGCCGGCCAGGGCTGTGAGGTGGCGGCTGACGACAGTAGCATGGATGTGGACGAGCTTGGGAGAGCGGCGAACGCGAGGGTGAGAGGAATTTTTCTTTTCTCTTCTGAGAAGTGGTTGCAGCCACTTAACTTTGAGATGCACCCGACATGCCTCTTAAAATATAGTATGGGTTAAACCGGGTTCGGCTAGGTCCGGTTTTGAGGAGTTAGAGCAGCTCCAACCGGCCGACCCAAACGGATACCGATTTTGTCTGTTTTTTGTCCATTTGCCCGTCTGTTCACACGTCTGTGTCTGGGTTTTTTGTTTGGGTTGGTTGGTGCGTCCAACAGGGCTAGACGAATTTTGGGCATGTCCGTGTCGACATTCGGTCGAACACCTAGTGGGCGACCTCCCGCGCCGCCTCGCCCCGCCCCCGGCACCCGTGAGCTCGCATCCGCGCCGTAGCTCGCCACGACCACCGCGCCCGCCGCTCTGGCTCAGCCGCGCCCCCGCTCGCCATCTCGCCCCGCCCGCCTCGCGCTGCCGTAGTTCAGCCGCACCCCCGCCCGCCTCGCGCTGCCGTAGTTCGGCCACACCCCCGCTCGCCAGCTCGCAGCACCCCACGAGCTCGTCGTTGCTCTGCCTGTGAGGAACGACATGTGCGCGACTATGCCGACATCGTTCCCACAGATCAGCAGCCTAGCAGTCTACGGCGAGCAAGAGGTGGTCAAGCGGGACGGTGAGGGCGGCGGGCGCGTCGAAGTAGTGCGCCTCGAGGCGCGCCTCAGCGTCGGCACAGAGGAGGAGAGAGGTGAGGTGGGGGTGGGCCAGTGGATAAAATAAAGAGAGAGAGAGGTGGGTGGGCGGGTGACAGGTGGGTCAGGCCCGGACACAGACAAACGAGGCGGGCGCAAAAAATGTCCGCTTTATGTCCGCCTCCGACCCAAATATGACCTAAATTCGGGACGAAATGGGTCCGAGCGGACACAAAATAGATATGAAATAGAAATGGATCTGCGCGTTGGGCCGATGCTTTTAGCCGTTTTGACGCAAACAGACACCCGTGGATGATTTGAATCCGCCCGTTGGAGTTGCTCTTATACCCTTTAAAGGGTCGGCTAGAGAAGCCCTTAGAGATCTAGGAATCGACATTAAGAAAAAAATGCCCTCTCATTATTTTGCTTTTCAAATTGTTAATTGGGGAGTTAAGTGCAACATATGAACAAGCTGCTCATGCCGCTCTCAGGGGAGCGGACAGGCAGACGATAGCATCATCGCCATGTTCCTCTCATCTTCTCTCTTTGGTCCATGGAGTTGATGGAGCTAAATCTGGCAGATCTTAGGTAGGGGTCTCGAACTAAGCATCTAGATACGACAGTAACATGGA